CAATCTAGAGTACAATGATATTTTAGTCTGTTTTTAACACTTTTTTTTTTTTTAAATGTTTATTTACTAAAAGTGAATATACAGGTACTAAACTCCCATTTAATTGTTACAGTCACTTATATTGAGTCCAGTGAAACAGTGCGTTGTCAACAGTTTTATTAAGTTACACTGCCATCTAGTAATGTCTGTTGTGTCCAACAGCTAATCTGTGAATTATTGATGGAGATGATGATCAATAACACCATATATTAGCAATCGTCCATAAGTGTAAAAAGTGTGCATAGAAGTTCACAGCAAATATAAGGACGACAGTGGACATTTAACCATATATTTAAGAAAATGACCAACATAGGTCAATTTTAATGATCATAATGCATAAATCATAACATAAACAAAATGAGATGTGGTTCCAGTACATTCAGGTGTTTCCATTCCAGTTTTTACCATCACATTTCTGTGCAGATTTTGGATTTTAACACTTTTTCCTAAATTGTTAATTACAACAAATGCTATACTGCAAATCTATAAAAGGCATGATTGTCATGCAGAAGCATTATGCCTGCTGCATCAAACACTCCACTAAATCAAACCATGAAATAATGTGCAGCAAAAACAATCATCCTTACAGTATACTTAAGACATTGATCTAGATCTTAAAAACATCTGAAAATTTTCATTTCACTATATATATAGGGCAAGAGGTTAAATTCAATGAAAACCATCCAAGTTTTCACTTCAGTTTGACTTGTTACTACTTTAATTGCATATTACATTTCCATCCATTTGGATTACACAGTTTTACCATAAACTAATAAACGAAAAAACGAAATGATTTGTCAGTCACACGTGAAACATGTAAGAAAAAGGTAGGACTTTTGCACTCCAAAAATCATGGCATAGTGGCATAGTTTCTATTTGCATCTATTCATTTTATTTCAATATTTTCAAAATGCATTTATTGCCTAAATTCAGCATAAATCTGTTTCTTGTGAAAATTAAGTTTTGTTTTCAGTTAAAGTATGAACTTGGTTAAAGGTTGGCTATAGCTGTGGAACAAGCAATATTCAGTGAATTGAATTAAAATGAGATTGAAACAAATGTAATTTATTGATGAATATATAAACCTGGTTATTGTGTATTTAAAACAAAATGTAGTTTGTTCAAACTAATCCAAATGCAAATTTAATGCAATCCACATTTTATACGCAATTCAAATATATAAATCTGAAGTTTAGGCCTATTTCTTTTTTATTTCTTTTTTTTTATTGTTTCCTTCCATGTTTTGCAATGGATAATGTTGCCGCAGCCCTAATTCAAGTCTTCGGTCATAATGTGTCAAGTTTTATAAAAGACATGAATTTACATTACAGAGTCTGTCATGCGTCACTAGCAGACACACAAATCCTATCAATGTCAGCCAGGAGCAATATCACTCAAAATATGAGATGAATGATGTTTGCAAAAAAAATAATTACCCTCATTAGGCCTAATCCACAAAAACCTGTTCATTTATCGCCGTGCTAATGTCAGAAATTAGGGCTCAGGGCAAAAGCGCTTCTGAAGGTGTCAGAAATGCTCCAGATATGTAATTTTTTTTTTTTTTTTATATCGTGAAGTGAAAAGTGTAGTTGTAAGAAACCAATCCATCAAGACGTTTTAACTCACTTCTTGCCAAAGTATGAATCCATAACACCATTTCCTGATGTCTCTCACATCAAAATCTACCATCATATTTGTTTGGAACTGTTTTGGGCTGTTTTTGTTTGTAAGCGGTGCTTGATCTGTACGTATTTCTCTCCCGATTCAGATGAGACGACTGGAGAAATCAGTGTTATAGATTATGGACTCACATTTTAGCTGGAAACACTGGTTTGAAATTAAAAATGTTTTATTGATGGAGTTGCTTCTTACAAACACTCAACTTTTCACTTCACAAGACATTAACTGATGGACTGGAGTGGTGTGGATTATTGTGTATTTTTATCAGCTGTTTGGACTCTCATTCTGACGGCACCCATTCACTGCAGAGGATCCACTGGTGTGCAAGTGACATTTCTCTGAAGAAACAAGCTCATCTACATTTTGGATAGACTTGAATACATTTCAGCAAATTCTGGGGTGAACTGTTCTAGATCTACAAACCCAATTCCAAAAAAGTTGGGACACTGTACAAATTGTGAGTAATAAAGGAATGGAATAATTTACAAATCTCATAAACTTTTATATTTTATTCACAATAGAATATAGATAACATAGCAAATGTTGAAAGTGAGACATTTTGAAATGTCATGCCAAATATTGACTCATTTTGGATTTCATGAGAGCTACACATTCCAAAAAAGTTGGGACAGGTAGCAATAAGAGGCCGGAAAAGTTAAATGTACATATAAGGAACAGCTGGAGGACCAATTTGCAACTTATTAGGTCAATTGGCAACATGATTGGGTATAAAAAGAGCCTC